CGCGCGGTGCTGCCTTTGTATGGCGCCGCGCGGGCCCCGGCACAAAGGGCCCTGCCACCCTCGGCCATGCACTGCTGTCACCGCTGTCACCTCGATTCGTCCGGCCTCGCCGAGACGCACGCAGCCCAGACAGTTCTGCTGAGGGGCGCGGGAGCAAACCAGCTTTGCAACGCGCGGTTTCCGTGCTGTGCTCTCTGCAAGAAATGCAAGAAAAATAAATGCATAGAAAATTGGGCATCTTTGTAGGTGCTATGTGCTCCATGCGGGGAGTAAAAGCAGAAGGAATCATCAGATTAGCAAACACCCAGAAAGGCCCCTCTTCTATAAGGAGGAGGAACAGGGTCTGCGACCAAGGGCTGGGTTCCTTCTGATGGGTCTGCCTCACGCTCTTTTATTTCTCACATATGCTCTGACAGCGCTTCAAACTGGAAGTTTCTGCCCTAAGTGCAAACTCACCGGGGCAGGGACCATTCCTTATGGATGCTAAAGTTGTCTGTGCAGCTATAAGGAGACCTACTTAAACATATGTGCAATACTGTAAACATAAATTACAAAAAAAAAAGCTTTTTCCAGAAAGAGGTGCCAAACAAAATTGTATTTTCCAGGAGAGCAAAACCAGGGAGTGCAACTCAATTTATACTCAAATATATCTCCAAATTAAATATAAAGAATGTCTCGTTTAACATTTGCTAATTAGAAGAGCTGCAAAAAAGTAAGCTTCAAAACAGTTAATTGCTGTGGGGAAATTCAGTGGTGAAGGAAGGTGATAGAGGTATAATTAAAATTCAGGGGTGTTTTTTACAGTGTATTTGAAGAGTTTCAAATTTTAGCAAAGCATGTACATAAGAAGTAAAAAAATCCAACTTAAAAAGTTAATGAGTAAGTTGTATTTTGCCATCTTTCTAAGGGCACAAAAATTCTGCCTTATGCTCCTTATCAGTAAGGTAAATTGAACTAAAAAAGGGAGATGACTCAACAGAGCAAAGGTCAGTTCTGAAACACCTTAATTTTTTATGGAAGATGAAAACAACCAGCAAGAGACCTCGTTGTGGTTTCTGACAACCACGTGTTTATTAACTGTATGAAAGACATAATCAAACTCTCATTTTGCTTATATGACATACCTCACCAGAATGGACAAAATACTTGCCTCTGAAGAAAAACCTTTCAGAAGCATGTCATTTACACATCTTTTTTATTTATGAGATAAGGCTTATCAGAAGATGTGGTATTACACATCACAATAATGTATTCACTTCTGAGCATGCAGTATTTTAAGCAGGCATGAAAGCCTAAACACATTTAATATTTCAGGGTAGTTATAGTTTTTAGTAACATACTGGATGATTTTGTATTTGTATATACATTTTGCTGTTTCTCAATGTGTGCCCATTTTTAATAGTGCAAAAACACACACCAAAATATTACATGCCATCAAACTGTCTTAAGCATCTACTCAAAGCTACATTGTGCATCAGACAAGGAAAAAATAAATAAATCTTACCCACATACTGGAATGCTAATGTGCATCCATCAAGAGCTATACATTCATAGTAAAGATTTCAGCCCAAATAAAGCCCCTTGCATTACTGTATACATATAAGAATAAGGAAAAAAAAACCTCATTTTTTTCGTTACCAAAATTGTATAGGAAAACCTAAAAGCACGAAAAGAACCATTTATTGTCCGAGGAGAAAATTGCACAGATTTGTCTTTCCTCGGAATTCTATGCAACCAACCGTAATAGCTCTTTGACAGTTCACCTGACTGCAGCAGAAATGGGAATGTGATGGTTACAGTGGATGACAGAAAGGGGCCATTTGAAGTGCTATTATGCAGTTTACATGAGAAGATTTCCACAGATTTTGGCTTTATTTTGTTATGTTATACACATTTTTGTGTGTGTGTGTGTGTGTTTTTTTTTTCCCTAGCGGTATGTGCCTTGTGAGAACAAAAGGAACATTCCTTTTCTGGATCTGCCATATAGAATTGCACACCTTAACATTTAAAATTTCCTCACTGTTTTCACACTGGCTTTGGTGAGTCGCTTTGCTTCAGTACGAGGAGTGAAAATGCATACATGCTCTTGTCTCGTGACAGTGACCCCATTTTGAATGACTGGCATGTATGTTTTATTTCACCTAGTTTACTCAGCAATACAAGTGTAATATTAACCAGAGACCGTATGCTTATACTTAAGCAAATAATTAGTGGAAGGACAGTCTATTTTATATATATATATATATTCGTTTGTGGGAGAAAGGGATTTGCTTGATGATTTTGTATAACCCTTACATTCTGGGGAAAAAAATAAAAAACTTTAAATACCTTACTGAAGGACCCAATTCTGAAGCTCTTCTTAAGATAACTGGCCCAGCTGAAACTAATAAGCCTTTTCTAGAAAGGAAAGCATATTCACATGAGTCAACATTTATAGCTTTGACATTTAAGCATTTTTAGGAAAGCAGTTGAGGTTTCTTTCCTTTATGGGACTGTTGTATAGTACAGATTTTGACATTCATGAAAAGACGAATTTAAAGCAACAAATAAATACATATGGTCTTTTCTGTAGGCATTTTGCATACAGAAACAAAATGAGGGGGCATGCTGGTAGTTTTCCAACAAAATAAAGAACAAACCACATTTTTAGATGTATATATACATATATACATACATAAAAAGGGAAATAAAAGTGATAATGTCCTAACTTTGCATTTACAGGTGAATTATTGATTTTACAAACCAGAGAAAATAAGCAACTGTATCCTTGATATATTGTTAAGCAGGCCTTCTATGATTCTCTTTCCTATATAGGGTCAAGACTGTTGACATGGGATTAATCAGCTGCTCCTCCTAAGCCATGAATCATAACAAATCGTTGTCAACTTCATACAGTAAAATTGCTTGAAAATAGAATTAAATGTATAAAGCATAAACATATACTAAGAGCAGCAAAAGTTGCAAATATTAATTTTAACCCTGGAACGGTGACAAATATTTTCTGCTTTTGCATTTGAGGAATTCCAATTGTCAAAATAGGAAGAGGATGCTTAATTTTCCTCCTGTTTTCTGGAAATGCGACAACACAACACATATATGGCTTTGTCAAACTGTGATATTTTACTTAAGCCCCCAAATTTGGCATCTATTCCTGTATGCAGATCTCTTCAATGTGTATTTTGTGCTACTTACGAGCAAGAAATACCCAGCTATGTTCTACGTGTCTTCCAGAGCCCATACACCTACACACAAATGTAGTCTGCTACCTACATTGTTGTTAGCTTATTTGTCAGCCTGTAGTGTGATAGGATTTGAGAATATTGGGTGCAAAGTGTCTTCAGGAAGAGGAAAGAAATCATTCACCATTAGAGATAAGTATGACAAGCTCCTTTTTACACTAGGATACACTTGTATTAAACAGAATGGCAGGGTGCCTGAGTGAGATTGCATCTATTACCAATGATGATATGAAAATGGACACTTATTAATCACTGCTTTGAAAATAATTGTCCATAGCTTTATAAATGCTACATAAGAGCATGTGTAAATTGGGATTTTTCTTATATGTCCTTGCATTCAAAATATTGGAAATATTTTGTAATACACTATTTTGTAAAGCAAATGCTACGAATACCCCAGAAATATCTTATTCAATAATGCGTAGGATGTTAGCATAAGCCAGGCGTTGTATAGGTAGTTTAAAAAAAAAACAGGTCATAGTAGTTATTCAAAACCAAAAATCGCTATGCTATTCTGTAATTTTTTTATGTTAAAACTATATGTCAGATATAAAATTGTCTAATTAAACAATGAGTTTCGTAGTCATCACAAGATAACATTTTGCTATATACAATATTTGACTAAAGGAGATGTAAAACAAAGATTATTACGTGAAGAGACTGGGAGGCTTTTGCCAATGAAAACACTCTTCTTGATTATGAGCTTTATTTTTGTTTCAGGTTTTATTTATTATTTGCACAGCTCATAAGAGAGGCTAAGCATCTCTAGGTTTTACAAACAAATCACTGCAGTAATATGAAAAGACACTGTAGTCTCTTATATGTAAGTAAGTTTCTCATGTACACATTTAGCCAAAAGCACATATTCCTTATATCTGTAATATTTATTACAGATGTCCTATATTTACATATTGTACATTTGTCATATCAAAGTATAGAAATGCATTATTTTAAGGAACAGTTTTAGAAAAATCCATTATCTCTACTAAATAGGGACACTGTTTTTCTCATGAACGTATTTGATTTAATTTAGAAGTGGAGTTCTCAAGACATAGTTGCAGCGGTGAACCACTAATTCAGTATTTAAAAGGAAGAGGCTGTGCTGGATTGTGACAAAGCCTGTCCGAGAAGGCGCATCCATGGAGGGATGGGGATGGCTGCAGCATTTTAAAGCTTTTTTCAAAAGTAGCCACTTTTACTTTCAAACACCAATGAGTTTCCTCGTCCAAGATCTTACATTGTGATGCCTGAGTTTTACAGCACAAAGGCATTTTTTATTTTTTTAATCTAAAAGCATAATCTGCTGTTTAAAAGAATAAAGAATGTAATTTTTGACTGCCCACATACAATCATGAAATAGATTTATCTTCTTGCCATTTTGAGAAATGCCACATTCAAAAGTAACCATATTCTAGACAGAAAAAAAAAAGACATTTTTAAAATTGCAGGAAATTTTTCTGCCTGTGTAACAATATATATGTGGATACACAAGAAATAAACAAAACAAAACAAAAAAAAACAAGATTTCTGGAGGAAAAAACATGTATTATCAACAGGAAAAAAAGTGAATATACCAACAATTGTTTATTCAATGTTACTATAAATAACAATTACCAGAATCTTCAATAAATCTTATGACAATGATTTATAAGTATGTTGAATTAAACTATCATATTTGCAGGCAGCTAAATATTTTATAAATAGAGTTCAAAATAATATATTGGTCTTTTTTGAAGAGCTTTCTTTTTTTCCTTTTTTTATTTATTAAGAATTTTTAAAATTTTATATATTAAAAAACCCCTTCTCTCCTAAGAATCTAATTAATATAAGCAAATAGTTTGTTTTTTTTTTTCTTTTTTTTTTGCTGTTGTTGCAAAAGAAGGTTGTTTTTTTGTTTCCTTGATAGTAATTTCATAACTTTAGCAGCTCTTGAACATATGGAGTATGTGTTATTAAGGATTAAGCCTTAAATTTATTTGTATAAGTAGAGAACCTAGCATTGCACAGGTCAAGTGGTTTCAGAATGAAAAACAAAGCAATATATTTAAAGAGATGCTAGTATCTCCTTTCTGAGTTCCTTTTTTATTTCAAAGTGCAAATATGGTTATAAATCACATTAGCCAGTGCATACAAATGATTGGAATTATAAAACAGACTGGAATACCTGCATCTACTATTTAACCTGGGAAGATTACTCGTATAATTAGAAACGGAATATTGATATTATACTTATGTGTAAACTTTCACTAACTTGTTTTCAAGATAACTGTGTCATGGAGTAATGAAGAATGAGTCTGCGGTAGCAGCAGGGTTGGTTAATCCATTTCTGCACGTCTCAGATTTCTCACCTGGCTCCTGCAGAGCCGTCTTTATCAACAGAATATTCCACTGCTGGACTTTCGTTATCCAGGCGCCCTCTTTTATTTAAGAGAGAGAAAATGCTTATCTGCCTCAGTATGATTAAATGCATAATTAGGAAGAAATATCCGTTTTATTAACATTTTGATCAGCAAAGCTTATAGAAGCACCTGCTTTCCTTCATGCAGAGTTTATGCCCATATCTGTTCTGAAAAGCGTCTTTTCTGGTGCTTTATCACCATATTGACTCAGAATATGCGCTGGATTCACACTCCTACCCCAGGCTGCAATTACAAGTATGGCTGCATTAGGTATGGATTTCGGTAAGATCCCAGTAAGATTTCAGTCAGAGCAGTAGCCAGGAGGCTGCCCCCTCCCGAAATCCCACAGCATCAGGGCTGGGCTCTTGCTGATGCTCTCCAGACCAACGCGAGCCACGTGGGGATGTTTACAGCCCCTGCCGTCACCTTTTCCTGAAGAGCAGGCAAGCGCCGACTGGATGCTTTGACAGGCAAAATCTGGAGCGCAACCTGTGTCGGCAATCTCCTTTCTAAGTATGTGTTCCATATGTGAAGGACCAAAAATAAAGCAGGTTTAAGGAAACGATTCACAAAAAGCTGCAGTTATACAAAGCAGGTGAAACTCCCTTCCATGGAATTTCACACAGAGAGTATGTCCTCCTTTCATTTGAGATAATTTTTTTTGAATGCATCCTAACTATGTTTTCTGCAACGTGATATGTGGTGCTTTTTACATCAAAAGCATACAGAAAATCAGAAGTTTTGTTGCTGATTGCTGTACACAACAGCCCCACTTTTGTTTGGAAATTAGTTTTCCCACTGAAATAAAGGTCCAGTGTGGAGGAAAAATATTTGTGATCCCTTTTTTAAAAAAAAAAAAAAAAAGAATTTGGAAAGGACAAAATAAATGTTAGATTTGAACTCCCCTTGGAGTATAAGTGATTTGTGTAGCAAGTATTTAGGCCGACTGATCGGAGCTGCCTCTGCCTGTGCCTGGTTCTGACTGCCGCTTTCCTCCCTTGCGTATCTGAGTGCAGCAAAAGTAAATTCCTGCGGGGAACAGCCCGGAGACCGTTCCACGTGCTTAGCTTCCCTCTGCAGTTTGTCATTATCACAGGAGCACTGCCATGGCATTTGGAAAACATTTTATGTCTTGTTGGCTCCTGATGATCTGCTATCATACGCTGTCCTGCAGCATTTACAGACGCCTTTTTAAAGAGCCCTGTGACTTGCACGGTTAGAAGCGGCTGCTCCGCGTCGCCGTGTGCCCTGCGCCAGCACCGGGCGCCTGCTCTGGGCTGCGCGGGGCCCTGGGCCGGCTCCGGGGCCACGTCCCTGCGCTGCTCCCAGGCCGCTGCTCCCTCGGTGCCCAAACACGGAATGGCCGGATCTAAGGCTTTGCCTGCCTGGGAATCTGCTTTTCTCACAGAGGGACAAAAAGGGAAAGCCTTTTGTTTGTGAAATAGTGGGAAGAAGGGGAGAAGAAGTGGGCGAGAGTATCAGGAGGCACAGAAAGAAGATATGCTATAAAGCCTGCTTTGTATCCAGAATTCTCCCATGTTAGAGCCAAACATACTGGTGTTACAAGTATATGGCACTAAAGCAGTTAAATACCAGGGAAGGCAATGCCACTGAGGCTGTGTTTCCATAACCAGTCCTATGTGAAATGCATGTGTCTTGTAATTGTGGAGAAAATTAGGAGGACAGGTAGTTTCTTATTTGTGACTTTGATGAGGCATAAACATTTACATTTTTTATGTAGAGAGGTCTTTGGGTGCGCATATTTCTGTGTATGAGGGAGAAAAAAAGTTAGATTCTTGTTTATGACTTCTGAGAGACATAAGCAAGCGTATTTACTTGAAAGTCTGTAAAGAACACCAGTGGAAACAGGATTAGGCCTGTCATATTATTCCTTGGCCAAGACCTACTATAGGGAAGGTCACTTAGGTGAAAAGTATACGAAATTGTTATGACAGCTTTTTATGTGTTAATTTGATAAAAGAGATATGGTGCAAATAAAAATGGTAGCTACTGTGAAAGGTTCACGTGCTGATTGAAAGTCCTTTTAGTAGAAACTCGAGACTCTCTCAAACACTAAAGATCAAATAGTTTGAAATCATTCATAGAAAGTAACTCTGATTCGTATTTTGCCAAGAATTTTGAGCTTTGCAAAGACACAAGGTAAGCAAAGTTCTGAGGCCCTATTCTCCTATTTCAAGTCTGAAATGCCAGTTCTCAGGAATTGGATTGGATTTACCCATTTTTGCAACAAAAGAACAGGTCAATTCTGATGTTTAAAAGAGCATTCTCCACCCATATGCTTTAATATTGACTTCTATTGCTGTGAGAAAGAACGAAAAGGACCTGCTGGAAAGTCTGACGACTCACACTTTTTAAATTTGATTCCATGCACCGCTTGGCCCCCCATTTTGAGTGCTCTACTTAGTACAATTTTCTGAGAGGACTTATTTTCAGAGGTAAGTCCCTTTCTAAGAATTGGGGCCAGCTGCAACACCAAGCCCAGACTGAAAGCACCTTAAGTTACTGAATACTTCTGAAAATCTCCCAAAACTGAGAGTTTACTCTTATTTTTTCAAGTCATTCTACAAATGACAGATATTTTGAACTCCACATAAGCACCTGTTTTGTGATTTAAAATACTGAAACCATTAATGTGCACAATAAACACTAGCGTACACATAGGTTAAATCACATTGCCTTAATTTTTTATTTCAAGCAATAGGATGTATGAGCCCTTTTCAAAGAAAGCTTCACACAATACTCTTTAAAATATTGTATATAATGCTTTAAAAAAGAACATTAAAAATGAAAGATTTTTCCTATTTTGTTCAAATGAATATGCCCTAAGTTATGCCTCTCAGTTGCCCCAATTTATTTTAATATGAAAAAAAATCTAATCTCTGCTTGTAAAGCAGATTATGCATGTATTAAATTCTTTAAAATTAGAATATACTTAATGCCACATTAGTTCCAGGCATGCAAAGTAGGAGAAAGAATTATACACCTAAACAACAAGAATGGTTTTTAAGCTTAAATTTCTACTTTGCTCCAATTCTCATTTAGTGAAATAAAAAGATATACAATCTACCATTTAATGAAATGCAATAATGAATTCATTTTTCTGAGGAAATCGCAGAGTAAAAGAATTAAAATGGTTAATATTTTTAATTTAGAAAAAGCAAAAAACAATGCATTGCTTCAGCCATCCATAAATCTGGCACATCTGCCTCTCTTTCCCATCTTCATCCTCCCTCCACTCAGCGGCCTCTCTTTCCCATCTTCATCCTCCCTCAGCTCCACTCAGCGAGTTAAACTTCATTTTTCACCTATGAGAAAGGTATTCAGGCGTTCCGTTTCCAGCCTCTGCGGACCAGGAGGATGTGCCCGATTCCCCTACACCCAGGAAGAGGTCAGGCACATCTCTGCAGAGCTCACTGGGACTAGGGCCGAAAACTTGGAGCACTATAGACCACTTGTCTTCAAGGCTGCAGCTGGTTGAGGTTGTTGGTCCTGTTTTTTCAGCCGTGCTGTCAAAGGACTTCTGCTTTTCCAGCTATATAAGTATAGCAGCCCTAGAGGCAGTGCTTTTTACCATTGGATACACTGCAGATGCAGCCCCACCTTGGGACTAAGGACATCATAGGAGATGTTTTTCCCCTCTGTTGGTGTTATTGCTGTGCAATAAGGGCAACAGTTTGCGATTAGGGTACATAACTAACTTCTTTGGGTGTTGGTATATGAATTATTAGCTCATAAATCCAATAAAAATGATATCAAATACAATCGAATTACTGTTCTTTTAATAAGAAGGAGCATCCTGTTAGTGTAATAGGTTGTGGAGGCCATGCAGGAGACAATGGATGAGACTCAACTGATGCCACATAAAAAGCAAAGACGGAGGGAATGGAGGACCATCCAGAGAGAAAGACAAAACTCCGCACACAGCTCAGCACACGATACAGGCGCCACCTGAGCTACACATTTGATCTGTGTAACTGTGGTTGGATGAAGTGCTGCGCGTTGAGCAAAGGTCAGCAGATGAAGCAATTTCAGCTCACGTAAATGTTTAAAGGAATTTACTGCTGAGCGCGCTGAGGTTTACACTTTGCCTGGAGAAGCAGTGAAAGGGGATGGCATCTGCTTTTCCACTTCATCATGAAGCGTTCTTGATGTATGAGAAAAGATTTGGCTTCAGACGGAGAGGGCAGTCTTGCCCTTCAGGCAAAGCTCCCGCTGACCTTGGTGGAAGCAGGACTGATCCACTAGGCAAGATCTATTTTACAGGATGATACTTGCAAAGTTCTTCTTAGTGCGCTTGCCCGAGTGGTGAAGTTGTGGCCTTTTCCTTCTAATCAATGCCCTGGCAGCCTTTAAAGGACAAACTGGAGGCAGGATATAGCAAACAGACACCTCATCCTGAAAGAAAAACAGAAAGCTTTCTAGAATGTTTGTTGTGTTATTCCTTATTTTAAATTCTGTTTATGCTGCTAAAATTTGCATATACTCTTTTTTAATGAATGCTACACAGCTGAGAGACAGTGAAAGATGCAGTTCGTGAAGCTTGTTAATACTAGTTCATTAAATCACACCAGACCTGATTTGCAAAAAGTCCTATATTCCGGAATTTCAGAGACAGTCCCAATATAATTTCCACCAGATCCCACTATCTATCTATTTATCAGCCATCTATTTTAGTGGGGTGCTCAAGTGGTCTTCACTGTCACAGCGGTCAAGCATGTCACTGTTAATATGTTTAGCTGCAGATATATCAAATCTTATTAATCAGTCTCCAGCAATACTTATGCTTGGTTTCAGCCGTAGCCTTTTGCCAGGCTCTTTCTGCTCCTCAAGCAGGAGCTGCGTGTCCATGACCAAGCAATATGTGCCCATAGCACTTGCAAGGCCGTGTATGGCTGTTTCTTCACAAACATCAGTTTTCTCAGCTCTGAGATGAGTTTCCACATGGGAAAAATGTAGACAATCGTTTTACATTTGTATACTGTCTTCTTTGCAAAAGCCGTCAGTTATAGTCCCATAAAACTCAATATCTTCAACATATTCAACAGACATGGAGAGAGGATGTGAGACAGGCTGGACTAAACTGTCAGGACTGCTCAAAGGGAAGACGTGTAACACAAATATCCACCTGAATGAAAAACTATAACCAAATCCAAACTTCGACATGAATACGAAACACTGCAAAGAAGTAAGCCATTTATTTTAATAACTTCCTTCCGTTATAACCTTTTCCTTGATGAAAGAGACCTGTCCCCTAATTAAGTTCGTTGGCAGCCTCAGGATTTTGGGGACTTTGCTGCAGGATATCTATAAGATGAGGACAGATATAGAATAGCAGCTTTCCTTTCATGTTTTAAACTCCAGTTTTGATTATTGCTCCTCATTACCTCCAAGGATCAAGCTATTTAGTTTGAAAAAGTTCCATCTAGAAGCTTATCTACTTGGCAACCTGCTGAATAAATATAATCGTGCTTCCTCCTGCCACACAGAGTCAGGCCGGAGGTTTCTGCCTGCTATTCAAAGACCTCTTCCTGTGACTATCATCTTGCATGACAGCCACCTTCTGCAACAACAGCCCAGCGATGCAGGAGGCTGCTATGTACCAGCAACAGAATTCCCTCTGAAACTGAGCTGTGTCTGCAGCATCCCCCCTGCATGGCAAAGTGCATGGGCCAAAAATCTTTCCTTGTTCAGAAACAATTGTTAAGCTCTTTCCAAAATGTTCTTCACTCTCAGGCATATTCTCCCCTTAGCACACCCAGAGTAAATGTGTCTACACTAGCAAGGTGAGCTTCCTAAATTCCAAAAGATGTGGAAATTCAAGCCTATATGTTTTCAGTCATAATGAGAAACAAACAAACAAATTCCTCCAGTGGTAATTATAATAATCTTTTCTTTCATTACAACGTATGAATACTATTTCTGGACATTAACCTGTCACCTGAAATAAATGGATATGAAACTCTGACTTACTATTTCACTTCATAAAATTAAAGATGTTTCCACTCTACCCTATTTATCCAGCAGAAATGGAAGGTGAGATTCGCCTTTCCTTTATTTATGATTTCAATAATCCTATTTAGAAATGTAAACTTTGGAAATTTTGAATATTCACTTTCATCTCTGTACTATCACCAGAGGCCAGCTCTGCATCTTCACTGTGGCACCCTGTGCACCCATTCCTAAAACATTAAATAAAATGATGCTAGAGTGTAAGAGAGAACAGCCAACTCCACCACTCTTTAGGAAAAATATGAACAGAGATAGATACTACATCTCTTACTAATGCTAAGACAAACTTAAGTATATTCCTGAATCTCATTACTACCAACCATTTCACAACTTCTATGCACATATCAAATAATATACTCTGATAAGAGAATTAAACTGTTTTTTTTTTCATTTTTGCCATGAAGTCGTAATTTTAGCAAGGCACTACAGCATGTCAAGAATCTACAGAATAGTCACATATCTAATACATACTTCTATTTTTCTTTAGCTATTTTCATGTTTCATATGATTCTAGAAAAACACCTATGTATAAATATAAATGCTCTTCTATATAAATTATAGAATTCACTTGAGAATTCAGCCTTTTGTTGAGTCAACAATCATGGTAATATCCCAGAACACTATAATTTAATTCTAGATATTTTTAAAATCTTATTACTGCAGAAATTTATATAATATGAATGAATTATAAACATGAGGGAAAATTAAGATAGTATAACACATGCCAGCTGTGGACAATAAAAAAAAAAGAAGCTTTGTTGACTGAAAAAGAAAAAAAAACAATAAAACAATGGACTTCTACAAAAGGAGAATGGAAATTTATGAACACTAATCTGCTGTGTAGCCATTGTTTTAGAGAGAACAGAAGGTCTTGGTAGAATATCTTTGCTTAGGCCAAGTTCCTCAAGCAAATACACATTTACTTGATGCATGCCAGCAGTCCTGTTGAATTCAATAGGGCTATTCAAATGCATGTGGTTTCTTACCTCAGATGTGTTTGCAAACTGAAGCCATTTGCAGTGATACTAGGTAATAATCTCAGAATTGTCTGGGTGATTTAGGGCCTCATAGTCAGCTTTTGAAACAGCCTGAGCCTTGGCCAAAAAAAAAAAAAAAATCAGATCCTCAAACAATTCAGTGCCCCCCTGAAGCCTTCAGCCCCAAATAGAGGTTGCTGCTCCCATTTAGAGTATGCAGGGGGAAGCACCTCTGGAAAAGCAGGGCAGTGAGAACTCATTTGGAGTGGCAAGAACTGGAGACATCATGTGGAGGGGTGCTGTGGGCACATACCTTTCCTCAGATGGGTCATTTCGGCGTGTTCAGGGTCTGCAGCAGTGCATACTCTTCTGAAGCTGGGTGTTTTGTCCCAGTTCTCTCGTTGCTGAAAAGCTGGAGAGAAAAAGATACACAACAAATGTCAAGATCCAGCCGGTTATGGGCTCCTTTAAAGCGGAGGGCACCTTGGCTTCAGGATCCCTCTGCTACCCCTTTCAGAGAAAGGTCTCACACATGGCTCTATCTCATTCCTGAACTGGTTTGCCAGTGATGCCAGTTTGGGATGGGGAATGCAAACACCGCCAGCCTCATAGACACTCCGTCCCACCTTTGGTGCAGACCCTTTTGCTTTCGCGCTTCACACCTACCAAACCCAGTCCAGCACAGGAAGAGTAAATCTGAGGCCTCTGACTTGGTCCTTAGGGCCTCACACTATAAATTGTTCATTCCTTGTGGCAACTCTGAGGCTGCTTGGCACAGACTGGCAAAAATAAAGGTTGTTTTGTGCATCAGTTTTGCAGAAGTGCACTAAGTAAGTAAGTGATGGGCTTAGGCACTGGAAAAGTATTCTTTTTGGAAATCAGTATCTAAATCACTTGCGTTCACTATATGGAGAAGAATCTGAATTTCTTTAGTTCTTATTCTTCCTTGACTTCTGGCATCGTCAATACTCCTTGTCATAAAATAGCTCTTATGCATTACACTTAAGCAAACTTTTGTATGAAGTGCATATAAGATGTAAAAAATGTAACAACTCAGAAATCATTCTTGTTGTCATATTGTGTGACACACACTTATGCCACCTTCCCTTTCATGTCATAAGAAATAAAAGGGATTTCTATTATTAACTCTGTTGTTTTTATTTTGTTCATACAATTGTTAAAGCAAATTTCTGGAACCAGACCTTGCAGCATGTGTGAGTAGTTTATCAAGGTGGTGAGAGTGGTGGTTCCTATTTGTCTTAAACAAGAGTGATTATCCAGGAATTACCTTTAAATTAAACACAACCACAAACATTGGTATTGATGAGATCACCCATGCAGGGATGGAAGGCTATTTCTGGTGGAAGAAGTGCAAAACATATTTTAACACTTGTATTGGAAAGCATGGGCTTAATATCTTAACGGAAAATATAGCAAAAGACAACCCAGAGAAACCTTACATTCTTAATAAAAAACATTTCTTCATACATGTATTTAAATACAGGTAAACTTATATGCATATTTTTTCTTGTCTGCTAAGGGACTAAATAATAGCTAAGCTATGAGAACTACTGCATGGGTAGGTGATTTGCGATAGTATGCAATGTTTAAGAAAGTGGTGACCTAGTTTCCCTTTAAAAATGGCTCTACCTCTCCTTGCTGAAGAATACCTATGGAAAACAAAACTGATAACATTTAAAAGCACATCTGCGCATTTAATCTGTGGCATAAATCCCACCTTTACTTCCCAACAACCTCATGATTTTGATGGAATTTCATAGTGTTTCACTAAAGCCTAAATCTCGTCTCAGAAATCACTCATTTATAGAGTACTAAGCTTCTAAAAGTTTGCATAGTGCTGGACTCTTAACAGTACACATGTTCATCCACTATAGGACAAAGTGATTTATTGAATCCAGCTGAAAGCACGGACCTTTCGCTCGCCTCCTGCCTACCTTGTGTCCAGACATGATGAGCGTGGCCAGTGCTGCTGTATCCAAGCTCCCTCCCAGAGTTCAGATGATGTCAGTTCTCCCCAGTGCTCCCTGTCTCCTTAACTCTCCTTTTCTACTCAGTGCTGCAACAGAACTGCTACTAGGTAGGCACTCTGCGTCAGGTATTTTAATACCCTATAGTTAACTGCTTTTGGAATGCACATAGGTGGAAAGATAAACAGCAACAGAGAATGACTGCATTCGCAACAGGTGCTCCTAGAGAAAACAGGGATAAGGAGACTAGCAAAGGAGCAGTGATGAACTATAGGAAACCTTTAGCCAACCTTCTGGGAGTAACAGCTTATCTTATTTTTTGCACAGCGCATCTTAAAGTGTGTCAAAAATATAATTTGCTTCATCTTACCTGTGAGAAAGCTGAGGTGCAGAGCAAGAAGGAACTTCCCCAC